AAAAAATTAATTGGGGGGGGTGAAAAAAATTAATTGGTAATGATTAATGATCTCTCAATGATTTTTAGTGCTCAGAAGTACTAGGAGATGAAGCTGAATCTGAAATAAATCTAGAAATTTATTTCAGACTTAATATGAACATGCTTCCTCATAATCTGTTTCTCCTCAAAGTTACTTCCCCAAAATAAATTTGGTTAAGTAAGAGTTATTCAGAAAATGGCAGATTTATATACTGTTACTCTTAAGTGAAGTTTATGAAGACAGAGGGAAATGGACACACACTGTATCTAAGAGTTGTCTCATCTGTCCCAAAATTAAACCCTTTTGTATAATTTTCAAATTGTGCTAATTTACATAATAAAATACTTGAAAACACAAGTCCAAATACTAACAAGTATTACTGTGAAATACCGAAACACAGATGAAGATGTATGTATGTAAATATAAATATATATACATTCACACACAAAACATGAGTTAGCACATTCCTACTACATCAGATTTAGTTAAGATAAATATATACAAACACACACATATTAAACAAGATAAAGGTAATACTTATTCAAACGTAAACAGAACTAAATAGTACAAATAAATAGAAATCGTATTCTTACTTCACTAAAGGCAATGTAACAAAGGCCTTGTTGGGAGTACTGAATCTAGTTTTAAGCCTCACAACTTTAAAAAGTAATATAAAAATATGAGAGAACATTTAAAGTTGAAAGAACAGCAAAAGACTTTAAAACAAGACAGAAAGACCATGGGATTCACGACAGGCTTGTTTGGGAGAAAGTTTAGAGGCCATGAAATATTTATGAAAAGATACAAAGAATCATAATGATTAAATAGCATTGTAATTAGCTGAGGTCTTTTTCCTAAAAAAGAGTAAATGATAGCAAAGATTAAAGAAACGTTTTCTATAAAATACTGGGAAGAAAGGTATTAAAAGAGGTAGTAGTGTTTTTTCCCTCATGTTGCAAAGAGAAATGCTTAATTATCTAGGACAGTCCAGGTAAAGCTGTGTTTGAAGACAGGGATGAATGACAAGGCCTGTGAAACGAATTCCATCTAAGTTTTTTAATTCTAAGTAAAGAAACACAATCTAATAAAGAAAACTATCCAGTGAGAAAATTACAGTTGGCTCTTTAGAAAAACTAGTACTAGAAGAAACATAATATTTCATAGGACAAATCTTATGACCAATGCTGTCCAAAATATTTTTATATTAGAATTACTGCATTAAATTGAATACAGAGTAATGAAACATTATTAGAATCACCTAAGAAGTTTCTTCTACCTACACAGTGCCTTGCCTCTTTATCCTTTCCGGAACTTGCAAGTGCATGGGGGTAGGGAGATGGCTTGAGAAGGAGGATGAGGAATATGTATGTATTACATGATGAATATGTACATTATGGAGAAAACTCCCCAGGTGATTGATATACCTACTGTCTAGCTTTGCTGGGGAATTCTGTTTGAATTATGTGATATGCTGATTATAGCTTAAAAATAATTTTGTCACACAGATGAATTAGCTGAAATACAATTTTACCTGTATGATGAATAGGAGAATCAACTAAGGTGCCCTATAACAAGTCAGTATTTAAGATAGTGAAGGAAAAATACTAAAGTTTTATGAAAAGTTAGATTTAGGTATAAACTATAAAAAAAACTGTTCAACATTATCTACAAAATAGATAAAATTAGTTTAAAATTCAATTGTAGAAAAACATCCTAGTTCCTACCCACTATACTACTCAGGTGTTTTTATAACAACCAAAAGTATTACAACAAAAGATTATAAAAACATTTAAAATACAATTTTGTATAAATTTTATTTACACTTTAGAATTTAAACAACTTGCTGGGAACATCCTTTGTGAGGCAACGTAGGTTTTTTTTTATTTGAAACTATTTAACTTTCAAGACAGGCTCACTAGTTTTTCTCAAGGGCAAAAAACAAATGTGTTAGCTGAAAATAGCCAACTTAATGATTATTTGTGACATAAACTTGTTCATGTGAGTCTAGAGAGCCTCCCCACCTCTGTCTCCCCTGTGGAGGAGGAGGTCTTTGCGTGCTTTTGTGTGATGGTTCCACTGAATTCATCACAATAGAGATGGACATTTGATATTCGTAACGATCCAACATCTGAGCAATCTTCTTTCGAGACACACCATGTTTATTCCTCCTATCAAAAAAGAAAAGGATTGTAAATCTTTTTTTTAGAATGTGTAGGCTTAAAGATTAAACTGTTTCAGAGGAACAGCATATAGATTCTAAATTATATTTTCAAAATAAACATTGTAAGATATATTTCATTTACACACATTTTATATAAAAAGTTT